GACTGTGCCAATATGATATTTTCAATAAAGATATTCCTTGAGGATTTCACCAGCCTAGGAGTTTTTCTTGATATGGGATTATTATTTGGAACCCTAACATTAAACCGCCTCTCCTAAAAAAACTTTCACACTCCAATCGGAACTGCTATCTGGGGTCCTGAGCCCCAGCCACTTACCCAGTCTACCTGGGCAGCGGGAAGACTCAGGGAAGATGGAGAAGGAAACCAGGGAGAAGACGAGTGCCGGCAGAGCCTGTGGGGGGATCAAGGAGAGCCTGCAATTCCCCCTGATGCCCCAGTGCATGGCAGTGGCAGAGGTCAAGTGCCAGTTGGGCGCCCAGCCCAAGGTCTATGCCAAGAGGCCGGCCACCCACTACTGGATGGAGGAAGACTTCAGCTGCCAAATGTGAGGCAGTGGTCCATGCCATAATTCCCCCCTCCCAGCCTGCTTCACAAGCCACCACCAGAGGGCAAGCCCAGCGATGGAGGACCATGGTTGGAGGGGGTATGACCAAAACCCTAAGAGACAAAATGCCAGTGGACCCCTGGGACAAAGACAACAAGGATGCATTGACCCTCAAAGATGGACTGGACTGGAAGGGCTCAAAATATATGGGTCCAGCAGTTTGCAGCTCCAACTACTTCAGAAGAATCATAATTCCAAACAGGCAGGGCACTTCAGCTACCTGAAAACCTTGCACCTGGCCAGAAAGCAATCTGGTGGCCAAGGATGAAAAAGGATGTAGAGAACTATGTAAAAAACAGTGCCATTTGTGCAGCCATGAAAAAAGACCTCCTGGGTTACTCCAGTAAGTGGCAGCCCCATTCCAACCTTAGCAAGAGAGTGACATGGATTTTATTGTTGAGCTCCCTGAGAGTGGGGGGGGAATACGGTCATTTGGACTGTAGCAGTGGTAAAATCCAATTTTTTTTACTACCGGTTCTGTGGGCATGGCTTGGTGAGTGTGGTGTGGCTTAGTGGATGTGGCTTGGTGGGCATGGCAGGGGAAGTATCCTGCAAAATTTCCATTCCCATCCCAGTCCAGGGGAAGAATCCTGCAAAATTTCCATTCCCACCCCAGTCCAGGGGAAGGATCCTACAAAATCTCCATTCCCACCCCACTCCAGGGGAAGGATCCTGCAAAATCTCCATTCCCACCCGACTCCAGGGAAGGATCCTGCAAAATCTCCATTCCCACCCCACTCCAGGGGAAGGATTATGTAAAATCTCCATTCCCTCTCCACTCTGGGGCCAGGCAAAGGTGGTATTTGCTGGTTCTCAGAACCTGCTGGAGGGTCCAAATATGCTTTACAGGCATATTTGGACCCTTTAACCTCAGCTACTTTAAGATGTGTGGATTCCAACTCCCAGAGTTCCCCAGTCCCTGGGAAATTCTGGGAGTTGAAGTCCCCACATCTTAAAAGTGGACAAGGTTGAGAAACGCTGCCTTGGAAAAAGAATCCATGTTGCAAAAGAGATGTTTTCTTCTGCCTTGAAAGATTTCCCCCAAAAATTGTACTGCATATCTGGAAGGGATTTGTTCTGTCCCCCCACCTCACATAGGCAGACACATGAGCAAAAGACGTCTACCAGTAATTTATTTTTACAAGCCGACCTGAATCCTTTGGCAATTAAAAGTGCTGGCAGCTACTTTCCGAATCCCTGCCAAGTTTCTTATCACCTCTAGAAACAGGAGTCAGTGTATCTGTAGTCCGTTGCTGGTGCAACCAAGAGTTCACAAGGCACAAAAGAATAGTCAGAAGTCATTCACAAAGTCCAAGCCTTAATTCCAAAAGATATCCCATCCGAAACTCACAATATGCAGTTTTTGTCCGTCACAGAGCCTGCAGAGCAACCCCACCCACTTTTATCACCTGTGGGGCATGGCTCAGTGACTCAGCAATCTCTGGCCCTTCCACACCTCTTCCTTTGCTGCACACGCCTCTCCCTCCAACACTGTCTGGGATCAATCCAAGATTGATCTTCATCACTCCTATTATTGGGTGCTCCGACATGCCTTCCTCCTGGCCTTCAGCTGGAACCTGAGGCATTGCCAGAAAGGAGGGTCCTGGAGAGGGAAGCCTTGTCAGTTCCTCCCCATCACTTTCAGAGTCATTTTCCTCCGTGAGGACAGGCTCGGGAGCCGGAGTCACAACAGGAGTTTTGGGAAGAGTGTATAAGAGAACTGGAGCAAATGGGACATTTGGGGAAGAATTCTTGCTTGACAAGGAAAGCTAACTGGAGATGATTAAGTCCTGCAGAAGTGGCTAACACTCACTGAAACAGATCCTCATGGCCAGAGCTGCAGGAGGCTGCTGAGAAGCGGCTTCATTATGATGTTTCCCAAAGAAAGAGCAACAACAGAAGTTTGGGGCTTTCAGGCTTTTACCATACGTTTCAGATCGGAAGAAACCACATCTTCCAATCCACCTCCTTTTCTAACCTTAGTGGGGGGGGGGAATCACCAGGAGCAAATCAATTGCACCAGAAAGGGGGAAGTTGCAGGCTTGTAACCAATAGCAGGAAAAGACCAGAGGGAGAGTTATGCAAGAAATTAAAGCAACTCTCTCACTTTTCCAGTTTTGCTTGATAATGGTATTTTGTAAGTGATAGTAGGATTTCAGAAAGCAGCTTTCAGATCAATAACCATACTGCTGTTTCCATCTAGAACACGTTTTAAGTTATTTTCCAAAAGCGGTTTATGAGTATTTCTAAGTGCATTTCTTCCTTTCCCTTTCTTTTACCTTTTAAAAGCATTTTTAGTAAAAAATTAGTAAAAAAGTAAAAAAATGCTAAAAAGGTAAAAAAAAAAAGTTCCAAAGATCAGCTGAGTAATGTGCGATCATCGGAACTTATTTTTTACTACCGGCTTGGCAAACCAGTAGCCTTTTTTACTACCAGTTCAGGTGAACTGGCACGAACCAGTAGCATTTCACCCCTGGACCATAGTAGATTTGTTCTCTAAGCAAGCCCATTTCACTGCTTGCTCAGGACTCCCATCCACTAAAAAATTAGCGAAGCTATTCATAAAACAGATTTATAGGCTGCACAGGGTCCCCCACAGAATTATCTCTGACAGAGGGGTCCAGTTCAGATCTATGTTTTGGAGGGAGTTCGTGCTGTCCATTGGGTCTTTCCAGGGGCTCAGCTTGGCTTTTCATCTGAATATGAACGGGGCGGTGGAACAGACTAATGCCATGGTACAACAGTACTTGAGATGCTATGTCAATTACCAGCAGTCTAACTGGGCAGAGCTACTGCCATTTGCTGAAGTGGCATACAACAATGTGGTGCATAGCAGCACTGGGCTCACCCCTTTCCAAATCACTAGTGGCATGGAGTTATCCCCATGCCTGAGCTACCTAGGGAACCCCCCTCATCCATGTCACTAAATGAGTGGATGGACTCATTGAAGGTAGCATGGGAAAATACCAAATGAGCACTGCAGGATGCGATGAAGACCTATAAGACTCAGACCGACAAACACCACTCCCCCCAGCCACCATTTTAGGTGGGAAACAGGGTCTATCTCTCCACTAAGTACTTAAAATTAAAGTTACCCTGCAGGAAGCTAGGGCTGAAGTTTATAGGACTTTTCCCTACAGTGAAAGTGATCAACCCCATAACAGTGGAACTTAAACTCCCCAGCTTGCTAGGGAAAGTGCATCCGGTCTTTCACAGTAGCTTGCTGAAGCCGGCTATAGGCTCCCAGATCAGGCCAGTAGATTGGGTGCTTCCAAAGGTAATTGTGCTGGAAGGGGAGACACATTATGAGATAAAAAGGATTTTGGACTTGAGGCTGTATAGGGGTAGGTTGCAGTACTGCAGTAATTAGTGCAATGGAAAGCGTAGCCCTCTCTGAAGCTATGTGGGTAAAGAGTTGGAAAGTGAAGGCAGATAGATTAGTCAAACAGTTTCATGACAAGAACCCCCAGAAGCCAAAGGGGCCTCCAGGGGGAGAGAGAGGAGGTTAGGCTGAGTTTCAATTAACCGCTCTGTACTTCGTTTTTTCTCCCATGGAGGAAGTTCTCTTCAACCAAGGGTGGCAGTCTGTCAACCCTGAAGTTGGCTGAACTGAGGCCATTTTTAATTTTTCCATTTCAGTGCTGACACATACTGGAGCTGAGGGATAGAGAGGGAGGAATAGAGATAGCTGGGGTGCTGTAGCCAAAAGAAAATGGGAACCAAGGACATTGCCGCAGGTGTTCAGAAGGAAGAGACTGAGGTCATCTAGCAACTGGACTGTATGCTGATTGGACCATGTGACTGAGGGTTTGGGGAAGTGACAAATTTACTTTTTTTCCTGAAACTTCCCTCTTAAAATTAAGGTGCGTGTTATACGCCAGTGCGCGTTATACGCCGATAAATACGGTATATACGGTATACTTATTATATCCTGCCTTTTCACACTGGTGTACAATACTTTGACATAGGAATATATCTTCTGCTTTATTCTCTTAGCAACTGTCCTGTATCAAGAGATATTGAAATTAATTTGGCAAAATGACTTGTTGAATTTTTAACCTTTACTTATTAGAGAATAATTTATTCTTGTTTTCCATGAATCAGGTAATAACAATAGTGTTCAATCAATTTGATAGTTAATCAGATAATCAGTATGAGGAAGCAGAGTTGCAAATTGGTATGTTAGACTTTAACTTAGAAATAAAAAGAGTTATGTACAGCATATATTGAGAACTTATTTTTCCCAAGCTCAGAGCTGGATATCTTTGTTTTTCCTTGTAACATCAGCATGCTCCACGTATTTTGACAAGTAGGACATAAATGCTTATAATTAATACATACAGTAGAATCTTAATATAAAATATACAGAAGATTAATTCTTTAAAATCTAGGTATTTTTGAAATCTCATTATTCAGTAAATTTTATTTTACACCAATTCTTAATTATGTTTAAAGAGAAACATAATGGCCAAGCTCATCTAAGAACTAAACCAAATATTACACAATTTTTAAAGAAAAATTAAAATTCTCCATACCCATTTTGCTTCTGAGAAAATGCCTCTTCTGAAGCTGCTCTTTGTTCTTTCATTATTTGCTCCTTCTCCAGTCTGTTTTCAGCATGCTGTAGGATTCATCTTGGAAAAACATCTGTGTGGACATGTATCCAATAATTTTTCACTTACATTAAATATCAAATAAAGAAATATAGCTCTTTTTCTAGGGTCATTGAAGGGTCATTGAAAATGAAATGAAGAGCCATTGAAAATGAAATGATTTCCAAGCAATCACATTAAACATGTTTCCACTCTAGCAATAGCAATTCTTTCTAGTTTATGAAGCATTATCCTATCTGATTCTTTTTTTCCTGCTTAGATGAAAGAGCATAAACCAGATCAGCAATAAGGACTAACAAGGCATTGTAAGTAAGGTAGGTCACATTTCTGAGAAAAACAGGACTCTATTAGCTTATGAGAAAGTATAGATTTTCTTCTTATCTTTCATATATGAGCCTTGGTGGCGCAGCAGATTAAAGTGTTGTTAAGTAACACCAGCTGCCTGCAATTACTGCAAGTTCGAATCTCACCAGGCTCAAGGTTGACTCAGCCTTCCATCCTTTCGAGGTAGGTAAAATGAGGACCCAGATTGTGGGGGCAATAAGCTGACTTTGTATAAAAAAAAAAAAGAACACCGCTTAGGGGGGCCCGAAAGCCCTACTAAGCAGGTATATACAAAAGTATGAAGGCTATTGCTTAACGCATTGTAAGCCGCCCTCAGTCTCCGGAAAAGGGCGGCATATAAATCGAACCAATAAATATAGAAAAATATCTTTTCAAACCAGTATGCGCAATAAACAGTTGCTGGTCTATGGTTTAACTGTTGATTAATAGCGGTGGAGGCAGGGGTGAAATGTTCCTGGTTCGGACCGGCTCAGGCGAGTAGGTAGCGATGGTGGCGGGCAGTTCGGAGAACCGGTAGCAAAAATCCCTGCCCCCGCCCCCCCTTGCCCAGCTGAGCCGCTTGATCATCAGAGCCTTTTTTTTCTTTTAAATGGCTCTGACTAGCCAAACTCTGACAATCCCAGCTGAGTTGCCTGCTAATCAGGCAACTGAGCTTGGATCGCCAGAGCCATGTAAAAGAAAAAAAAGCTTTTTTCCTTTTAAATGGCTCTGCCTGCTAATCGGAAGCAAAAATTCCTCCCCTTCCCACCCCTCATCTTGCTTACTTTAGCTGCTGGTCGCAACGCCTTGCTGTAATCCCTGCAATCGATTGCATCAGCAAGCAACTGAATCTCCCTGCCTGCAATCAAGCAGGCAGGGAGTTGTGGACTTCAACTCCCAGAATTCCTCAGCCAGCAAAGCTGGCTGAGGAATTCTGGGAGTTGAAGTCTACAAGTCTTAAAGTTGCCAAGGTTGGAGACCCCTGTTCAATTGGGTAAGTTTTTTTCTCCTTTGGGAGCTTTAAAAAAATAGTTAATTGGGGTATTTTTTAGTTGTTCTTTTTTTAGATCTAGCCATTTAAAGTTTAGGAAGTTTTAAATTTAGCTGCTTTTATATAAAAATAAAAATAAAATAAAATATTATTTGTGCAGCTTTCTGAGATTTAGTGTGTTTCTGTAGTGTTTCACTCTAGCTACACAAACACACAAAATCTCACAAAGCTGTATGTGGAATTTTGTGTGTGTAAAGTGTGAAAGTTGATTTTTTGGGCTTTTTGTGGCTGTGTGAGGTTCCTGCTTCTTGCAGGGGCCATTTTGTGTCTAGCACAGCTGCTTTTACATTGTGGGTGAGCCAGTTGTGTTGTGTTGGGTTGTGTGTGTGTAAAGTGTGAAAGTTGTTTTTTTTTGGGGCTTTTTGTGGCTGTGTGAGGTTCCTGCTTCTTGCAGGGGCCATTTTGGGTCTAGCACAGCTGCTTTTATATTGTGGGTGAGCCAGTTGTGTTGTGTTGTGTTTTGTAGGTTAAAAAAGGGCAAAGAAGTGACATTGACTTGGCCACACCCACCTGACCAATAAGCCACGCCCTCCCAGTCACCTTACTACCAAGCCACGTCCACTAATTAAGCCACGCCCACAGAACCGGTAGCAAAAAAATTTAGATTTCACCCCTGGGTGGAGGTAAACAAAATGGTCAGCTTGTTTAGATTCATATGAATCATAAATGACAAATGCTCAATTCAGACTACACAGCTAGCATAATGCAATTCTTTGAAACAATTGTTATCTTTTCTGTATAACAAATTTGTCCTTCAGACTAAATGATCACCTAAAAGTGAAAGCAACTGTGGAAATTATAACAAAGATGGGCAGAACAATTCTATAGTTCAATTGTCCTAAAAGCAGGGGATATTTAGAATGGTGAAATGCATTTCATTTTCTCCATATTCTACCTGGGAAAAGGGGAAAAATATAAATGTTGCAAAGGCTGTTACCCCACCAATCTGTAAGTTTGCTTGAAAAACTGATGAATTTACTCAACATACACTAAAATCACAAGATAGCATAAATACTGTGTTTCCCCAAAAATAAGACTGTCTTATATTTTTTTTGAACCCTGAAATAAGTGCCTCCGCCTTTATATTGCTTGCTTGCTCGGCTGCCATTTTAATGGGGGGAGGGGGGAGCTGTCTGGATGTCTGGGGGGGGGGGAAGTGAGCTGGTGGAGTAAATGGGAGAAAGTTTTCCTCAGCGTTTCTCTGCAGCTGGGAAGCGCTGATAACCACTCAAGGTCAACCATCATGGCATACCAGGAGGATGGAGCCATCGGAAGCTGCACCCCACATGACCCCTTGGGGGGATGTGGATTGGATAATCCTGACTGGACAATTGGGGGGAGGTTTTTAAGGATGCTTTCTATATGTGATTTTCGCGCCTATTGCCTCAGACCTTGCTTTTCTTTGGTTGCATTCAGTTCATACTCAGTAAAAGTACCTTTCTCTATGAAAATGGAATTGGGGTTTTTCTTTCTTGAGTGTTGAAAGGAGGCATACCTGACAGCTTGGCCTTATTGCCATGTGCTGAAAAGCCTGATTGGGCTTATTATCAGGGGATGTCTTATTTTGGAGGAAACAGGGTGCTTTCTGTTATGTATGTATCTATTTTGTGCAGGAAATTCAAATGTACAGTGAATCCTGATTGGTTCATGGTCGCCCCTGAAAAGTATATAAAGAGGGCTGTTGCCTGTGTTCCTTTGCTGAAGTCTCACCCTGAATTAAAGAGCTGTTGTTACTAGCCTGCTTGTGCCTCTCGTTATTCCCGCGCTACAACATTGGCGACAAAGGTGGGATAGAGGACACAAGAGGCAATCCAAAAAGAGTTTAGAGTTTCAGCCAGGGTGACTAGCGAACACGGAGACATGGCATGTCTGCCTACGTTCCGCCAAAACCCTTCGACCCGACCCGAGAGAAGTGGGGATCGTATCTGACCAGGTTCGAGTGCTCCCTGGAAGCAAGCGAAATGCAAGGGCTCTCTGCGAACAGAAAAAGGGCTCTGTTCTTAAGCCACTGCGGGCCAGACGTATTCGAGATAGCCGAATCCCTCTGCGAGCCAACCCCAGTCCAGACGGTCCCCTGGGATGTCCTGCAGGCCAACCTGAAAGCCCACTATGCTCCAGTTCCGTCTAAATTCGTTCAGCGCTACGAACTCCGGCAAAGAGTTCAAAAAGAAGGAGAGCCAGTCAGTGCTTATGTGGCCGTGCTTCGAAAAGCCGCAACGCATTGTGACTACAGAGACTTAGACAATGCATTGCTTGAACAACTGATTTGCAGGGTTCGAGATACCCGGTTACAAAGGTGTCTTCTAGCCAAGCCAGACCTAACGCTAGCCAGCACGCTAGATGAAGCCCAAGCACACAAGGCATCAATGAAAGCTTCGGAAGCGCTGCAGCGTCCCAGTTCAAGCAAGGACGGGCCAAAAACAGCCCCCGTCCACAGAGAAGAGGTGCGAACCAGCACAGAGGAAGAGTCGGATGAGGACGTCTTCCATACAGAAAAGAAATCGAGCGAACAAAGCCGCCGCCACGAGAACTTCCCTAGCTGTGGCGGGGATCACGAGAGACAGTCGTGTAAATACAAAGAAGCCATTTGCAGGCGTTGCGACAGGGAAAGGCCACCTGGCACGAGTTTGCAGAACTCAATTTCCACATAGTCGAAAGTCAGGTGACTACCGTGACCAACCAGAACCGGCTCGTTCAAAACAGCCAATCAAAGATGATGGTGCGAGAAAACAGCATGAACCTCAAAAGCGGGAGACCTACAGCACAAGAATCGGCCAAGCCAGCACAACCGACGATGAGAAAGTCTACACGAAAGTAGAAATCGATGGCAAATCGTGCGAAATGGAGATCGACACCGGGTCTACGTTATCGATCATGTCCTGGTCAACACTCAAGGCACTCCTGCCCAAGTTTCAGAAGAACCAGCTGTCCCGTCAGAAAATCCGCCTACTCGACTACCAGGGAAACCGAGTTCCCGTTAAAGGCGTGGGCACGTTCCGGGTCACCTACGGCGAGTTCCAGAAAGAGCTTCCCCTGACCGTCGTTAGCAAGCCCCTACCAAGTCTACTGGGCATGAAATGGTTCCGGGCCCTCGGCATGGGCTTCACAGGCGTTCACAGCATCAGCGGATCATCACTTAAAGAAACCCTGCTCCACGAGTTTCGGGACATTTTCGAAGAGACTCTAGGCAAGTACGTGGGGACCCCTATATCCTTTAATTTAGACCCCAACGTAGCGCCAATCAGACTGAAAGCAAGACGAGTTCCATTTGCTTTAAAGCCCAAAATCGATGTGGAGCTCGACAAGCTCATTAAGCAAGGGGTGCTCGTTCCCGTAGATCACACTAAATGGGAAACCCCTATAGTCACGCCAGTCAAATCGGATGGCTCAATTAGAATTTGCGCCGACTATAAATGTTCGTTAAACAAGGCGTTGCAGCAGAGTGCCTATCCGGTTCCGATAGTCCACCATCTACTACATTCCCTGGGGCCTGGCAAGCTATTCGCTAAACTAGACCTTGCGCAGGCGTACCAGCAACTGCCAGTAGATGACGCTATGGCAGAATCACAGACAATAGTAACTCACAGAGGTGCCTTTAAATGCACCAGGCTTCAGTTTGGGGTCACCATCGCCCCAGGACTCTTTCAAAGCACAATGGA